ACACACACACACCACTCCCTGCCTCACAGGATTTAGGCTACCCTATACTTATTTTTTCATAAAACTCATCACAGTTTAATTTTGCCTTTATTTCTGTGATCACTCGCTTGATGTTTGCCTCCCATATAGGACTGAATCCTCGAAGGGGTCAGGCAGCCTGCCTGCGTGGCTCACTGCTGCCCTCTCGTGCCTGCAACATTGCAGGTTCTCCATCAGTGTTCGCTGAATAAAGAACGTCCTCTGTAGCCACATCTCTCCTTAAAACCCTTTATTACTCAAAGAGTTAATAGAAGTGGGTCAAAACTCACTGATCGCTGATGATACACAGATCTCCCCAAGTGAAGTTACCCTTCCGAAAAAGACCCACCATCAGCACTACCGCTGGCCCAAAGGATACTAGAGAAAGAAATTTCTTTTAAAGGAATTCTTTTGGCTATTGGCGCAGGATCTAAGTCACAGGAGCGATGTGAGAGATGCAAAGCTCTGCCAGGTGTTCCATTTGGATTTTTTCAAACAAAACTCACAAAGGGGAGGAAATGCTTTCCTGCTTTCTGCCACGAAGACAGGACAAGCCAGGATGTTAATTAAATTACAAATCAGCTGCCTGCTCGCAGCTGACAGAGCTCTGTGTGCTTCCAAGCAACGTCAGATATTTTAAACCCTCGGCAATTACCTACAAAGGAGGCGCTGCCAAGAAGGAAGCGCGCATGAATATTTAATGGATCTTAAGATCCTTTTGGAAGAACTGGTGATTTACATGATTGTGAGGGAACTTACTCTAGCTCAGTGCTGCCCTCCATCTGCGAACGGAAGATGTGAAGATGCTGGACATGAAGTGTGGGATGAAGTGCTTTCTCTCCTGCAACTCTGAGCTATGCCCAAGACCCCGGGGAGGCCAGGGTCACACCGGATTGGTAATTGTCTGATTAGACAGCCCTTAAGTTCTCTGAGGGAGTCTGAATGGGAGCACAGACCTATGATCTAGGAAAATCATGCATGTGGAATTGTTAAATGACTTTGTATAAGATGTCACACATTCAGGGTGCTAATTACCATGTACAACATGCTTTCAGAAGCATTGTCTCAAGTAATTCAAGAATTGGAGGAAGACAGTATTGTTATTCTGATTTGCAAATGAAAAAAAAAAACAAAAAACAGAGGGTGGGAGAGTCTCCAAAATGTTAAATAAAGGGCAAAGCTGCCTTTCAAACCAACCTAGCCAGCTGACTCCAAGAGGCAGCCCAGTATAGTGAAGTGTGTGCGAAGCCTGGCATTAGAAGCATTGGGCTCAAATCTTGCTAATGCCACTTGCTAATGCAACTTGAGAAACATCTGTCAAGTTGCTGGGCATCTCTGAGCTTCAGTTGACTGAAGCTATAAATGGGTGATTGCAGAATCTACCTCACAGAAGTATGAACATTGAATGAGACTGTATTCCTGACACACGGTAGCTGCTTGACCAATGTTAAGGATCTCCTTTCTGAAACTCTCAAGTGAGATAATACATGGAAGGACTTAGCAGAGTGGTCACTTAATATCAGCTATGATGATCTTATTGCAACACTGGATTTTTTTACTTGATTATAAAAGACTGGAAATATTTTTTCAAAAACTAATTAAAGGGGGAAACTGGAGCCTCATTTTTTTTAAAAAATGTTGCTTTCAACCTCTTCAAAACATACAATTACAACTTTTCCATTACCCCCTAACACTGTGCTCCAAACTCACAGTTCTCCTGATCCCACAACGCACTCTTCTTGATTCATTATGCTATCCCCAGTGCTTGAAAACCTTCCGGTTCTCTCAAACTCTCTCCACTCAGCTACTGGACTCAGCTACTGGAGCCCTGACCACTCCAGCTACTGGACTCCTCCCAATTCTTGCACTTAACAAGAATTTATTCCAGTTATAAAATAAGTAACAGGAATATAATGGACAGCATGGTGACTATAGTTAATAAACACTGTAACAAAACAAAAAATATATATAAATTTGTTAAGCACCTACTCTGTGCCTGCCATTATAAGTGCTAGGGATACAATATTGAATAAGAAAGACATATTCCCTCCTACCCTTTGTTCTTGATGTCTTCTTACCTCTAATAACCCCTCTAACTCCCTTTCACCTGGCAGTTGCCACACCCCTTAAAGCTTAACTCCTGTATGATTTCTTCCCAGATGCTTTCTCTGGCCAGCCAGGTTTGGCTAAGTGTTCTTTTTCTATGCCCACATGACTGATGCCCTGAGAATTCCTCCCTTTTTTAAAAGCATGTATGTATCTGCTTTTCTCGTGGGAACATAAAGACTTCTTGATTCATTATTGTATCACCAGCAGCAAACATTCTGCCTGGGATCCTGTAGAATTAGGTGCTCAATAAATGTTTCTGAGCTGAACTACCGTTGGTGGAGATATAAGTTCCTTGGACTCCTGTATAATCCACCATACAGCACATCCCAGAAGCAGCATGTACTCAAGAAACCCATCTGGATCCTATAGGAGATCTGGTTACTGAGCAGCACCCTATAATATTGTTAGCAATAAAATGAGCAACTGGTTGATTGTGTAGTACAGTAATAAAATAAGTCATTCAGGTTTTTGGTGTGAAGAATGTTAAAAGGAGTGTTGGCTAGTGGCTTTCTGGAGCAAGAAGTTGAGAGGAGGAAAAATTGTGACATTTAAGAAAGAATTGAGTGAGTACCCCCCTGTCCCCTACTCTACCAGAACTGAGTTAGAGCAACTAAGGAAACACAGCACATAAGTGGGACCATCCCAAGTAATGTGACCTGAGACTCTAAACCCCAGACACACAGACAAGAGTACCAATCTTGATAACCACAATAAAATATACTGAATTATATGTAAGCAGGGGAGATGTTTGGGAGAATACACACTATGCTGACACTGCTTGTCTCTGGGTGATTATTAACTTCACTAGTGGCCTGGTGCACAAAATTTATGCACAGGGCAGGGGGGGTGTTTCCTCAGCCAAGCCTGCACCCTCTCCAATCGGGGACCCCTTGGGGGATGTCTGACGGCCAGTTTAGGCCCGATCCCTAAACCAGAGGCTGCGGATCAGACCCTGCTTCTCTCTCTGGGCCTCGCCAGCAACCGTACCTCTCTCTCTCTCTCCAGGCCTCACCAGCAGCCTGGGGTGGCTGCTGATCAGCCCTGCCTCTCTGATCAGGCTCAGAGTAGGCCCAGAGACACTGACTGGCATAGAAACTGACCAATCAGAACCAAATCTGGGTGAACTGCATGGAGCCAATGGCTGCCTAGGAGGCGGAGCCTTTGACACTGGCATAGAGAGAGAGAGGCAAGGGCTGATCAGCAGCTGCCACAGAGACTGCGGATCAGATCCTGCTTCTCTCTCTGGGCCTTGCCAGCAGCTTGGGGTGGCTTCTGATCAGCCCCGCCTCTCTCTCTCTCTCCAAGAGGTCAGCAGTTCAGCCTGTCACCATTCCCAGTCCACCCGAGCCTTCTGCATGCGCAGCCTGGTATTCAGTTGTCCCTTCAGTCATTTTGGACATTGCGGACCCTGGCTCTCTATATATACAGATTGTTTGAGCTACATGTGTTACTTGGAGAATAAAAATTAACACAATAGACGATGCAAGACATGATCACATATTTGTTTTGGTGTAAAGGAGAAGGCCCAGTGGGCTATAAGCTATGTGGCAAGAGGAAATTCTCCAGCCATGGAAAAGGTTTATACAAGTTTAGTTAACTTGGAGAGCTGGCTTAAGGGTGCAAGTGTGATGTCCAGTCAAAGGAAGGAGTGGGGAGAGCTGGGAAGACATTTACTGCGGAGGAAGAGAGCTTGAAGTCAATTGCTTTGTTATCAAGAAATCAAAGCAATGATCTGGAAACAGACTTGACAGTTAGTTTCTCCATTAAAATACAATTTCAAATACTGTCTGAGTAATTCTCCAGGGATAGCTGTGCTGGATTCAAGTGGGGGCAGTAAGATCTTGTACACAGTCACTGCCTGACTCAATCCACCTGCTGTAGCTTCTGTGGGTGAGAGCCCTTCACTGCTGAAGGCTAGAATTGTGTTGTGCTCCGAGTGCCCAGTGCCCAGGACAGATGAAATGTGTATTTCAGCTGAATGCTTCATCACGTGATGCCAATACCCTGCACCTCAGTTTCCCGAGTTTCAATTCTGTTCCTGCCACTAATGAACGACGTGACTTCAGGTAAATATGGAAGCTCTCAGAAACTCTGGTTCCTCATTTGTGAAATGGGGCTATTAATCCATAGAAGAGTGTTTCTATGGGAAATTGATGAGATAACATGTATAAATGTCTTGGCATAGGGCCTGAATCCTGCTTGATACTTAGAAAATCTAAGCCTCTTCTTATTTCTGCCAGTGTCATATACTCATCTTTCCAAGTATTATCAGAGGGTCAACACACACATGTGCACACACACACACACACACACGCACATACTCAGCTCAACCTTACCTCTATTATAGGACCTGGTTTCCTCCACCCACACTACCACAGGCATCATAGCATCATGATAGATCAGTGTAAACACCCTGAAGGAGACAGACTGAACTGCAAACACCTTGCCTCCACTGCTCAGAGATCCAGTTTCTTTTCTGTATGTGAGGCTGTCTTATCATCTTTACCCAATGCTCCCATCTGATTCAAGGCCACTGGACTCATTTGCCTATGATTATCATGTCTGTCCAGCAGGCAGAGAGAGGACAGTCTCAGACACAGGGGCTGAATATCCCACCACTGGGCTTCTGGACCTTAGAACCTGCTGTGGATTGGCACCTGCCCAGTCCTTCCATCTACATTTGACCTGAACCTAGAACATCTCCTGAAGTCTTTCTGGCTGTTTGTGTGCCTGCTCCTACTTTTCCCTGGGCAGCCTGTTGGCATGTGCTTGCTCTGACATATAGAGTACGAAATCCCTTCTTAACATGAGCATCATCATCTTTTCATTCAACAAAATATTTATCCAGCACGTTATGTACTAATAACTAAGTTTTCAGTAATAGAAGTGCAGTATTTTAGAAAAAGGTGAAAATGTATTACCTCTTAGAGCTTGAATGCTAGTTGCATAAGGTAAAATAAATATTTGCCCAGATTCTCTTTTTTCTCTACATATCCAGCAGCAGGCATGAACAGCTGTCCTCTCATGGGAAGATGCCAGGTGGTCCACTGGGCAGCCACTCTAAATTGTCTCTTGTGGTGATCCCAATAGGCTTGAACATCTAGCTGTATGTCTCCAGCTGCCTTGTCCAGAGCCCCCTCAGTGTGAGCTGACTTCAGTGACATTGGAACATGGAATAGGTGAAGGACCAGGACACAAGGTGAGGACTTGACTCTGGCCTCATCAACAGTGGGCTTCAATCAAAAAGGATTATAATATTAATATTTCCTCAAATAAAGATGCTTCATAATCCATGTTTGGTTTAGGTGGTTTAATCCGCAAATAAGATGTAGTTCATTTGGAAAGGCTTATTAGACTTAATCTAGGTATCTGAATATGCAATTAAGAGCCCAATTATAGAGTGCTATGTTGTGCTTATTACATCCTTAGGACCTATGCCACAAGTCAAGAAAGCCTAGAAAGTTTTCTCATTTTCTTGTCCTGGTGCCACCTTTCAGATGAGTGCCTCTGATATGGAATGCATGTGTGTTGATGCTTTACAACTATCAATTTATTTAACCCCTACAACAAAATTATAAACTAGTTACTATTTCCCCCTCATTGTACAGGTGAGAAATTAGAGGCAGCGAGAGATTAAGTACGTTGCTCACAAAATTAATGAGAAGCTAATTCATGCCTCATTGTCCTCACAATCCCCACATTTTCTCCAGCATTTACTGCCTCCAAGGCATTGTGCATTTCCTATCCTCTGACTCAGGTATTTCTTGTGTGGATGGTAGATACTTTGATCCTTTAGTTTAAATGTCTGAGTTCTGCAAGCTTCCCTTTTTCCTTGCTGGGCCACAGAATACAATTGAGAGAGAGAGCAGAGAGATAACCTAGTTAATGACATTGCCATTTACCTGGTCACCCCAATACAAAACTAAACAGATGAAGAAGATCCTTCAGCATCTTTCCCTTTTTATGACTTCCAGAGCAGGGTCAACCTAACTCAGCCGGCAGAATACAACATGTAATATCAGAGTCAAGGCCAAACAACTTTACATTAGAATGAAAGTTCTTTGATGAAGGCAGTGAAGCTATAGTCCATAGCCATCTCAGTAGGCCTCTGGGAGGTAGGGGGGATTTAGTCCACTTTGTCAGGTGAATGAGTCTATATTCAGTTAAATGGGTTCTCCTGCAGAAGGGACTCTTGTTCTGTCTTTTTCTTTTTTATCTCCATTGCCCCATCAGGCCCTTGTTCCTTTCCCAGATTATTGCACTTGCCTCCTCATTCCCTTTCCAAAACCACATTGCTTTCCTGCATCTCCATCTTTTCCCACCCCTGTCCTCCACAACCTGTTGTTCCACCATTCTAGATTATTTGCAATTCAGAGTAAGAGCATCATATCACCTCTGGGACTTTGCACTTGCTACCTCCCTGGTGTATTTTGCCATCACCTTCAGGGCTCAGCTAAGATGATACCTCCTCCCAGGAGCCACCTTGACTGATCCACATCACCTGTCGTCTGTGCCCCTACCCCACACTGGGGTCAGGACTCACAGCAACCTGTGTACACACAGAACACTTTTATGTTATAATTTATGCATTTTTACTTGATTGTTTACCTTCATAGACTATAAGATCTTTGAATGGAAGGGTAAAGTCTCATGTATTGTTGTGGCATCTGTGCCAAGTATTCAATGGATATTGAGTAAATATTTGTTAAGTAACTAATACCAACCTAGTAACTAGCTGCCTTATCTGCATTCTCTCCATCATCCAATTATTCAACAATCATCCCCAGAAACACTTGAAGCACAACTTTGGCCATGTCACCCTTTAAAGCCCTTCAGTAGTTCACTGCTGCTCCAGAATGAAACATAGACACTTTGCATGGTGTTCGTGCCACTCCCAATCTCTCTCTAAAGTCCTGTCTCCTCCTGTGCTTAATTACCTGTTTAAATTCGGGTGCAGCATAAGGTCATTTGGATCAAGAATGAACTGTATGTTTGAAAGTGGTCCCATAAAATTGTCACAGAATTGTGCTACCACATTCTTAATCTTCAAACTTCCATTAACTTCCTTGTATTCTCTCCAATATATCCTTTGACACAAGCAGTTTGAAATATTCAAGAGAAGACAGAAATTCCAAGGAGGCTA